TGTGAGGGGCTGTGAGGCCGCTGCTCGCCGGCCAGTCCGCGAGGAGCGACTTGCTTTCTTCTCCCCGTCATCGCTACGACCTCAGAAAGAGATGCTGAGGTGGCTTGTACGTTATTGCTGTTATCGTTTTCTCCTTCGCGGTCTTTCAGCAGCGAGCATGAGGGGCCGCGCGGCCACGGCGCGGATATCCGTGTTGGTGAAGGGGGGGGGGAAGACTTAGACTCAGCGTGAACTCAAGCCAGATCAAGCGGGAAGGTGCAGCAGGTTTATCCTCTTCTTGCGTTCTACTTGGCCGCAAAAGATGAAGCTTTTTTTTTCCCTCTCAAAGATGCTACCAGACCCACTCCCTCAGTTGCTGTGTGAACAGCTTTTCCTCGTTCCGTGGGGGGAGAGGCGCGGGGGCTGGTTCTAACATGTGATCCGAGCTGAGCTCGCTGTCCTTGCAAAACTCATCCAGCGCTCGGTGGCTCCGAAATGCCAAGCCGCTTAGTGGACCTCGTTTCCAGCCCGTGCCAGGAGCGCCCCCTGGCCGGTAGTAACGGATGGGTGTTCATCGTTCCTCCCACCGCCGTTCGCCGCGGGGAAACTGGGGGGCTTTTCCCCTGAAAAAGTAGGCCTTGTCCGTTTGACCTGCCGTGTTGTAATCGTTCCCGTAGTCTTGAGTGACGAAGCGGGACGTAACTTAATCTCTGTTTCTTCGCTGGTCGTTTTTTTTTGTTCTTGATGTTTTGAAGGTCCAGAGTGAGACAACAGATCTTCCTAATCCCTCGGTTTCATAAATCGTAATGTTTGTACTTTATCTTAAATTAAGTGGAGAAAACCAGTGATGGACAGGTGGTTAAGTGGCTTTTAGGAATAAGATGTATTGTTATTCTAGGCCTTTTTGGGTATTGCAGGAGACATACAAAAACAAAAGTTACTGCCTTAGCTATAGATTTAAGCATGAAGGGTTTATGTAAAGAACAGCCCTGTTTTACTGTTATAGAAAACAGGTTTTTTTTATAGAGTCTAAAAGCGCTTCTATATTAGTCATGGTGCAGATAAGACAAACTTAGCTGAGCAAGTTTATGGTGGGAAAAATACAGAGTGGATGAACGCAGAAGGGAAAATGGTTATGCTGAGTGTTTTTTAAGGCTCGTGTAACCAGATTGCAGTGTCTTTATAGATAAGTTTTGCTGCTGTTCGTTATAACAATGAAAAGTTCCCAGAACCTTAACTATGAAGTTGGCTAAGCTTTTTTGCTCCAGGAAAATGGGAGGGTGTTTACTTTTTCTGCTTTCATTCTTGTTTATTTTGTTGTGACTACATAAATACCAAATGCTTAATAATAATGTTTCAGACTTGGGCTACTTTTAATGATTGAATTGGGCCACTGGTTGCCTTCAGCTTTGAAGAGATTAACAATGATTTGTAATTTTTCTTACTACAGGAAATCACGATAAACTTTAAAAATACTTAAGTAATATTATTAGAGTATTTGCACTATTCTAAAATGTTAATGTTTGTGCTGAAAAAAAGCAGTTGGCAGCCATTCTTATACAAAAGGTTATCTTAATGAGGAAGAGGGTAAAGTTTTCTCAAATTCTGCATTTATTCTATTGTTTACGCATTTTTGGAGTAGTTAATTTCTTATTACTCAGTCAAGGCTTCAAAGTAAGCGTTGCAGTGCTAGTAACGTTTTTATTCCTTATCTGGGTAGTGGTAGCTCTAATTTTAAGTTTAGTGAGTATTTAATGTTTAGAATATTTAAAAACTTAGGAAGTTCTCTTCTGGCTTCTTTCCATTCACTGCTTTTTGATGTTACCCTTTGGCTGACGGGTAGAACAACCCTATTCGTGTTGTCACTGCCACGCTTTCAGGGTGACAAGCAAAATACATCTGTACTTTTTCCCCCCTTATTTTGGAGGAGGAGCCTTTAAACTTCAATTTTTAGGGTGCTGTCTACAATCGACAGGCCTAGTCAGAGCTCATCTCCCGCCCAACCAGAGATGAGAATCGTCACTCTTGCACTTCAGAAGTGTTATTTCAGAGTTCTCAAGAAACATGTAGCAGTTCTGATGCTGCGGGGCGTGTGTGTTTGTGTGAGCGTGTTGTACCATACGGCTAAAAAAAATAAAACTATAAAAACAGGGATGCTATTTACTTACAAGGCACTTAAATAGCAAGAGAATAAACTCAGGTTCTGGTGATGCTGATAGCTGGTATTTGCATAAGCCTTTTAATGTTTAGTAAAAATAATAGAATCATAAACACTTAAATTCCTAGAAATCTCATTAATATCTTGTGAAGAGTTAGCAGCTGCTTAAAGGAAAAGTCTTAACTTTTAATTGTTTAAAAGACTTATTAGAAATGGATGTAGATATTCCCTCTCTTAAAACATATATTCCCGTGAACCGTTAGGCAAAGAATATTTGTTCCTCTGCATTGTCTGAAACATAACAGTAAAATGCCAGGGAGATATGAGGCTTACTGAGCTGTTAATATGTTTCAGTTAGAGTTACATTGTATGCAGTACGGCTGCTAAGTCAGTGAAGCAGCAGCCATGTCTCTGTGAATTGATGATACACTCTTTTTATGTAACTTGGGCCTTCTGACCCTCCATGTAGCAGAATAACAGCAATAATCTGTTTCTTGTTAAACTGCTAATATTATTTATTACATAGCTTGTCAGCTGAACTTCTGTATCTGCTGAAATCACAGCAAAAGACATTTCATTACCGAAAGTGGAAGAATGCATGGAGTTATA